ACAGAGATGAGGGGGTTGCAGCATTGCCAGGGGAGTGCTTGGGTGCATGCTGTGTTGGTGCTGTTCTGTTTGAGTACTGAACTGGGACCGCTGCTTTGGAGTGCTTGCTGTGTTGGGGTTGTGGAGGCATTCTGCTGGTAGCTTCCCTGATCTGGTGCATAACTCCAGCAGTCATCCACCTCTCGGAGTGGCAGCTGCTCTCCACTCTTGGATGGGCTGTATGATCTGTCTTTTTTTTTCTCCATGCTTTTGTCTCGGAGTCGCAGCTGCTCTCCACTCTTGGAAGGGCTGTCTGATCTGTCTTTTTTTCTCCATGCTTTTGTTCTTTTCTTTGTGCGTTGGTTTCTCACCAACTAGGAGGTTGGAGCTTGTTTTAGCTCCAAGCTCCTCTTTATTGATGTAAATTTTCTTTCCATCAATAAAGTTTTTTTGCCGATCAAAAAAAAATAAAAAAAAAATTCTCGATGCGGTTTGGAAGCTCCTTTCGAAGCTAAACACTGGGCCGATACCTTTTCTCAAAAGGGTATTATTTTCAAAACCTGCGAAAGTCATATCGAAGTTGCCCTTGAATATCATCTCTGAGCTTCCTGGATTTAAACTTTCGAAAGAACCCATTGGATTCTTATTCTCCCCCAAGGACCAAGAAGACAACCCCGAAGATCAAAATTCTTTGAACAGCACCATTAACAAACCTCTACTAGTGGAGGAAATCTCAATCCCTTCTGTTACTGAACTCTCGAAAGCCGGTGTATCTTTCATACCCAGTAGTAATGACAACATCTGCTCCATTAGTTTCGATGTTAAAACAGCTACATTGTATCTCCCTACTGTTAGTCTAGAGCTAAATACAGAAGTGGTCTTGAGAAACCTAGTAGCATATGAGGCATGCAATGCATCAGGGCCATTGGTTTTTTCTCGTTACACTGAATTGATGAATGGGATTATCGATACCGAAGAGGATGTGAGATTACTTAGGGAAAAAGGGATTATTTTGAACCGTTTAAAGAGTGATAAAGAGGTGGCCAACCTATGGAATGGGATGAACAAGTCTGTTAGGTTGACTAAAGTGCCCTTCTTAGACAAAGTGATTGAAGACACCAACAAGTATTACAATGGGAAGTGGAAGGTTAAGGTGGGAAAGTTCATGAAGCTTTACGTGTTTGGCTCATGGCAGTGTCTTACATTTTTGGCATCTATTTTGCTCTTGTTGTTGACCACTTTCCAAGCCTTTTGCTCAGTGTACAACTGTTCTCGTTTATTTCATGTCAAGAGCATTTTGTGATTCAATGAGAGTCTATCTCTATCATAGGCGATGGAGGTTTTGATTGGTCCATAGCTTAGGTATATATGCTTGCAATTAATTTGAATATCTTTTATAAATTAATTTTTGTATAAGATTTTCAATGTAACAATTGAATCAGTTGTATTTCTTTTAAACAAATGAAAAGCTATGGACACTGAAAAATATATTAAAAAAATCAAATGGATGACATATAAATTTCCCATAATGAGTCACATTCAGCATAAAATGAGTTTTCGGCGCCACGATCCTCCCAAGCTAACCCTTTGGCAGAGGTATCATCAGTATCTAAAAGTTAGTTTTCACTTAAGATAAGATAAAACTCAATAGAGATAAATTTAATAATCTGTATAATACTTAACAAAGTCATAAAATGAATGCATATAAATGTCATTATCAAAACATGCATTTTTTCTTTTAAACAATGCAATGCTATGTTTATATCCCAATTAATAAACCATTCTTTCCAAAATAGAAAATAGGGCAGTAACACACTGAGAATCTCTAGGTACGTGTTTGCAAGTAGGCTATATGTTAATCATGTGGTTTAATTTTGATGATATCTAAAATATGATGGGATAATTTGTGATTTTTAAATATACATATTTTATATTCTTTGACACAAAATATTTTCTGTTTATAATATATGTTGTATGATATATTCGTTATAAATATTTTTAAAATAGAAGTTACTATGGTACATCTGATTTTACAAAAAATATTTTAGAAAACTTACTATTCACGTGTTGAAAAATCCGATTGTCCACTATTCATTTTTTAACAAATTTGATATTGATTGGTTATCTTCTTTTGATAAAATTAATGTATCCACATGGGTGGTGGGCCATTTTTTACTAAAGTGTATTTAAAATCTCTACAAAAATTGTAAAAGGAGTATATATTTTCAGATATGATATAAATATTATTTAAAGAGATTTTACTATACATAATTTTAATTTTAAAGTTATTGTGCGGTAAAATATTTTAATAGAAAAGTTACTATGCAGTCACTGTGTACCATTTGATTTTTCTATGAGAAGTTTGAAAATTTACTCCTAATTATTTATCGAAAACGACTTTTGGCTATATTTTTTGGTAAATTTGATTAACATAAATGAAGATTTTGATTTCAGTTTGAGAATATATTTTTTTAAAAAAATTTTGAAAGAAATTATTTTTTATGAGCATTTAATATAGGTTCACACACAGTAATAAAATTTTTCATCAATTATTAACAAATCTGTTTATATTTAACTTTCAATTATTAAAATTTTCTACACAAAGTATTAATATTCAAAATTATTTTTTTATTTTAAAAATAAATTTTTATATATCACACGGGTCACCTACTACTGGATATGAGATACCGCGTGTTGTACCTATGAAGAGAAGTGATTACGAAGGGAGACGTAGACTTTCCAATATGTATAACATGTTCAAACCTGTGTTTCTTTACATGAGAAATGCATTTCTAATTAATTAGGTAGATATGGTGTAGACGCTTCGGGATCTATGGAAGTTCGTCATTTTACTTTTATATATAAAAGACTCACTACCTCACCTCCCCATCCTCAATTAAGTTTCTTTAAAGTTTTCATTAATTCCCCTATTATAGAAACATACAATTGTACACATCTTATTCTTTTCAAACTTTGGTAAATTTGATTAACATAAATGAAGATTTTGATTTCAGTTTGAGAATACATTTTTTTTTAAAATTTTTGAAAGAAATTATTTTTATGAACATTTTACATAGGGTGTCACACAGAGTAACAAAAATTTTCATTAATTATTAACAAATTTATTTATATTTGATTTTCAGTTGTTAAAATTTTCTACACAATATTAATGTTCAAAATTATTTTTTTATTTTAAAAATAAATTCTTGTATATCACACGAGTCACCTACTAATAAATATAACATACCGCATGTTATGCCTATTAGGGATGAGCAGCGGATATACTGATCCGCCAAAACTGACCGAACCGAACTGATCCACCGCATTTTCAAAAAATGCGTGATGACGAGCGGATGGTTGTGGATTGATTTTCTCCAATCCGCCAATTTGGCGGACGGATGACGGATTTGAGCTTCCTTTGGCCGCAACCGAACCGCTAAACTGCGAGCACCCTTAATAATTTATAAGACTTTATGTTTTCAATTTGTTTAAATATTTTGTTTGTGTTTTCAATTGAAAAATAGTTCAAATATTCTGTTGAAAAAAAGTTTTCAACTTGGATATATTTTTTGAATTGAAAAAAATAAACATATTATTTATCTATATTTTTTGGTTTTTAAATCTGACTCTAAAAGTGATAAATAGAAAATATAACATATGCTGGTTGGTTTTTGTTTTCAAAAATATATATAAATGTAACAATACAGAGAAATACAATCTCTACTATTGCTCTGCTAATGGTTTTGATGGTTTGAATTGTTTTTATATTTTAAGAACCACAGATTGTAATATTTTATGTGAATGAGACATGCAGTGATTGTGATATTCTAAAGTTTCAAACTTTCTTTCTTTGGATGATGCATGCAGTAATTGTAATACTTTTTTAAGTCATTGATTGTAATATTTTTTTTTTTTTTTGAGGAAGTGCACAAGTTGAACTATGTTGAAAATTTACAAAATTTCAAACCCCCAAACCGATTCGCATCCATCCGCCAAATAGCCAATCCGCTCAATCCACATCCGCCGAATTGGCGGACGGATGCGGATTGATTTTTCCAATCTGCCAATCTGGCGAACGGATGGCGGATTGGAGGTTTCGTGGCCGCAACCAACCCGCGCCCGCCCCTAATGCCTATGAAGAGAAGTGATTATGAAGGGAGACGTTGACTTTTAAATATATATAACATGTTCAAACATATATTTCTTCGGGAACAGGGTCCCTGCTGTGCTCAAAGCACAACAGTACTCAAAGCACAGTAGTGACAGTAGTGTCTCCGTTTGAATTATATTATGATATTATTTTTATGATCTATATTATTCATATTGTAGGGCTTGTTGAGTACTTCATGCCTACCAAAAATCATATTAATCGGATATCAATAACTATATGATCAAATCGCATATTATTTATGCTATTTCTCAAAATAAAAACTTATTATTTATTTTTTTTGTTATCCATCATATAGTTGTTGATAGCCGATTAATATAATTTTTGGTAAGTATGAAGTACTCAACAAACCTTACAAAATAAATAGTTTGAATAATAAAAATAAAATCATAATACACCTCAAACGAAAGCACCAAAAACACAACAGAGACCCCTTTTCCTATTTCTTCACGTGAGAAATGCATTTCTAATTAATTAGGTAGATATGGTATAGACCACTTTCGTCATTTTACTTTTTATATATAAAAGACTCACTACCTCACCTCCCCATCCTCAATTAAATTTCTTTAAAGTTTTCATTAATTTCCCTCTTACAGAAACATACAATTGTACACATCTTATTCTTTTCAAACTCTGCAGTAGCAAACGTTTCATCTTTTAAAAAAATTATTCTCAACTCCCTTGTCCTCCTTCCAACAAACCAAAGAACTACCACACACGATACATAAAATTGCATGTATCTGTTTTTTCTCCGACTGCAATAGTGAGAGCCACACATTTTAGAAGGTTTCACTCTCAACTCCCTTGTCCTACCTTTTACAAACCAAAAGAACAACCACCTAAAGAAGCCTACATGTCTTATGTTCAACCCAACATGGTCTCAAACTCGAACTTTGACGAGGATCAATGGGTTATTCAAATTCGTCGAACCCTAGACGAAGAGCTCGAAGACGGCACTGAAATCCCTGTCAGCATCTTCAATGTCCCCAAAACCCTAATGGTTGGTGATCCGGATTGTTACATTCCACAAGAAGTAGCATTAGGTCCTTACCATTACTGGCGTCCTGAGTTGTATGAGATGCAAAGATACAAGCTTGTTGCAGCTAAAACAACACAAAGGCAACTTCAAAACATCAAGTTTCACCACCTAGTCGACCAACTAATGACGTCCGAGGCAATGATTCGAGCTTCATACCATAAGTACCTGGATATCAATGGTGAAACCTTGGCATGGATGATGGCCGTTGACGCATCATTCTTGCTTGAGTTCCTTCAAATCTATGCTATCAAGGAAGGTAAAGCGTGCATGCTAACAAGAATTTCATCCAGTATGTCACATTTTCTTGATATTGAAAGGAGGAAATCAGCACATAATGCCATTCTTAGAGATATGGTGATGCTTGAGAATCAAATCCCACTATTTTTGCTAAGGACGATGTTGGAATTTCAATGTTCGTCATTAGACTTGGCTGATCAATTGTTGCTCTCCATGTTAATGGGGTTCTGTAAAGAGCTTTCTCCGTTTAAGATGATCAAACAATTGCCTAATTTTGATCAAGTTACGAATTGTGCACACTTGCTAGACCTTCTATACCGTGTGATCTTGCCAAAATGGGAACAAGAATTCGATGTTAACACTGATGAAGTTGATGATCAAACTGAAGTTAAAGAGAGCAACGAAAGATCCTTTGGGAAGTCAGTTTATGTCAGACAACTTCTCGATGCAAAAAAAGCCCTATGGAGGACGGACACAGAGAGAGAGAATTAGGAGGTTGGAGACCAGTTGTTCGAAGACATGGAAGGCAAGGCTCAGAGGGATGGAGGGTTCAGTCGGAGGTCCATACCATTTTTGTGGATGACATCCCTAACTCGATGGATCCAAGGAGGTTACATTCTCTATACTCTAGTTTTGGAGTAGTAAGGGATGTCTTCATCCCCTTCAAGAGAAGGAAAATATCTCGTACCAGGTTTGGCTTTGTTCGATATGATTGCTTAGTGGCAGCAACCATGGCGATTCAAAAAACAGACGGGATGTGGTGTGATGATAAAGCCCTAAAGGTCAAGATGGCCCAATTCGGGAAGGAGGAGGTCGTGAAACATAAATCAGCACATCCAAATGATGGTAGAGAAGGGAGAGGTAAATCTATTGCCGTTCCAGGGTCACATAGAGGGAGTAGATCTTATGCGCAGGTCCTTCGAGAAGGAGGGTCCAAGTCCAAACCAACCATCACTGTCAGGGCCCTGGAAGTAGGAAATGGATGGTTATATGAGAGTGTAGTAGTCAGGTTGAAGACCACTTGCTCTGTAGATGATTTTAAGAAGGAATTGTTGATCAGGGGTTTGGGGGAGGCTAAATTTACAATAGGTGGGGGTAAAGATGTTATACTATCCTTCCAATCAGTAACGATGATGCAACAGGAACTTAATAGAATGGAAGGTTGGATTAAGGAGTGGAGTGACTCAGTCAAAGTTTGGCAACAAGGAATGCTCTTGGAACAAGAAAGAAGTGTGTGGCTAAGCTGTTATGGGGTGCCCCCTAATTTATGGAGCTTCAACACTTTCAATAGTATAGGGAGGCAGTGGGGGCAGGTGATGGAGGTAGATGATGACACTTTGAGGTTAAAAAACCTGCAATGTGGTAAGATAAGGATAGCTACATCCTGTATGGAATCTATAAATGCGTCCATTTTTTTAGATTGCAGTGGAGTATTATACCCGGTCAAGATATGTGAGGAGCAGATTGTTATATCCCAGGTAGTAGTGCAACAATGCAGCTGTCGATCATTCCCACCGGAAAGAGCCAGTCAGAGTTCACACAAGGGGGCTATTGATGGGGCTTCCGACTCAATTCGGGGCAACCTGCCGGTGGTGCAGGGGGACGATGAGGCTGCTAAGGTTGGAGTGGGTGATCACAGGGCTGCTGTGGCAGTAGAGGAGCGTTCTGTTGTGGCAGCAGGGGAGTGCTCTGAGTCAGTGGATGATAGAAAGATAAACAGTGGGCAGAGTGTTTCTGAGGTGGAAGAGACAGTAAGTAGGCTGGAGGTGACATGTGGAGCACGTAATGTCAGTCCTGATGTCAATTTGGTGGGCTCTATGCAAGGTGTGAGTGGAGGTCATGCAAAGGGCAAATATTCATTCTCTCTCTCTCTCTCTCTCTCTCTCTCTCTCTCTCTCTCTCTCTCTCTTTCTCTCTCCCACTTGTTGTCTCGTTCTGTAACGCCCCCAAATTATTACAATAAAACCAATCCTTAAAGCAGAAGAATAATAGAAATAATATGCTTTCATTCATCAGAATTCGTTTACAAAAGTTAACACATGCAATATATATTTACAAATGTTCATCCTGAATCTACAGCATGTGTTGCAAAGTTAAAAAAACTAAAACTAAACACATAGTCATATGTTCTACAGGCCTACATCTTTTCAAGTCATTGCTTGGTTATACAAATGTGAGCATCACTCAATACAAGTTACGCCCTTGGCTATACAAAAGAATATAAAAAAATAAAAAAACTCTTCCTCCCAAAAGTCCCTCCAAGTTATTGTCTTAGTGGAGGCATATCACTAACACCTGAAAATGGATTTTTTCCAAATAGGGTGAGCCGAAACTCAGTAGGAATAACCTATCACAATATATGAGATTTAACAAAGATATAAGTACAATGTGCATATACAATGCTTGTGACAAATATTCACATTTTTATATCATCATAAAATACGAAGTTTATATCTTATTCCACTTTTCTTCAATTCATTTCAATTCATGAGTCAATTCTATTATCTCTCAACAACCCAACTGAGACTGTAACTCAGTGGTTTTCCAAGTCAATACAATACCACACAAACACTTCAATCTGCCATTTTACGAAAATTTTGTCCGCGGAATCGACACCCATGTATGCACAAGATTTCGGGACTTTTGCCCTGGACACTTCGGCCAACTTAATTTCAATGGAGTCCATCCCCCCTCTCCTGCCAAACAATGGAGTACATCTCCTTTCTCCTCCCAAACATAATACATATACAATGTATTTAAAGTATAGTCACATTCAATGACAACCAACATTAGATTAGTTTCAATTTACCTAATCCTCATGCAATTTCTATAACAATCATAACTACCATCCACCGATAGCCTAATATAGATATTTCTAAACAGATACAATCTTTTCAATAGATAAATTATTCAAATTTTCATGGGTGAGAGACAACACATGTCCAACTCCACTATTTATATCAATACTCATCCAATTTCACATTACCAATGTCAATGTCAATTTCAATTATTTATACAAAATAACTATTTGATCCAATTAAGGCAAAACTTTCTATTTTTCAAATATCAACCCAAAGTACCAAAATCAACAATTTTGACACAATACAACCTCATTTTCAAACTCCATAACCATTTACTTTCCATTCACCAAAAACCCATCCTTTTATTTCACACACAAACCCTAGGGTTGTTCAAACTACTCTCAAATCCCACCATTGTTACACAACGACAAATAACTAAGTTAAAGACCATATAAAGGTGTAGAAAATCCCTACCTCAAAGAGAGAAGACGAGCAAGGCAAGGATGAAACTCCAAAGATGCTCAAACCCAACTTTGTTCGGATCAAAATGAAGATCTTGAGATGCTCTACCTTTTTCTCAAAGGCACTAAGGTGAAGATCCCAATGGATCTAGGTGAAATAATAGAGAGAAGATGAGACTCAAGATCTAAGTTTTTGGAAAGTTTTAGAGAGAGAGAGAAATAAAAAAGTGATGAGCAATGTCATCTTCTCGGACTGTTATATACGCAGTCCACTCGAGCGTCAGACACAATGTTCCGCTCAAGCCCAAGAAGTGATGCTCGAGTGTAGAATACACACTTTCAGAAATTTTGCAGACGAAGGACATTGCTTGAGCGCAAGACTGGAGGCTCGAGCGTCCACTCGTTCGAGTGTAGGAAACCCCGCTCGAGCATAGAACATACTCTTTCAATATTTGCAGGTCTGCAAAAATATTGAGAGTTTGCAAACCTTGCTCGAGCGCAAGTATGACCGCTCGAGCGGAGGAGAAAAATTGCGATGCCCGTTCGAGCGCAATAATGGCCGCTCGAGTAGAGGAGGAAAAATTTGGGCAACAAAGGTTTGGAAAAACAAGCAACCAACCTGTTCCAAACGCACAACTACAATCCAATAACCAAATTTAAGGGGATTAAGGGAAAAATGACAATGAACAACATTCAGAAACTATAAGCCCGAGTCTGGAATGCAACAAGAGTCGGGTCAAAATCAGAATCGCTATACGTTCTCTCTCTCGCTCTCTGTCTTTCTCTCTCTTGCCTACTCTTGCTCCCTATCATCCTCCGACACTAACTCAATCACCACCATCATCCAACTAAATCTATCTCCAATATACACAAATCTATATTCGATCTACATACATCATTCTCTGGTCTACACAAAACCGTCTCTAATATACACAAAATTCATCATCGATTTTCTCCATCATTTCTAATCATCCCCATCATCACCTATCTACATCATCATCACCGCCGATCTACACTATCACCGCCGATTTTCTCCATCATCACAGTTAATCACCATCATCAGCCATCCAAATCCCTTACCAATCTACCAAAATCCATCACAAATCTACATAAATCCATCACTGATCTACCAAGATCTATCTTCGATCTACATCATAGCCATTACCGATCTTCATCGTCATTTTCAATCCTCCATCATCGCAGATCTACATCATCATCACCGATCTTCACCTTTGTCACCGATCTTTACATCCACCAGCATCTTTTCCCTTATCAAAATGCTAAAATTATTTTTATAATTTGTAATACTTCTTTTGTGGTTGCATGTTCTACAAACTCTTTGTTATTGTATTAGTATTGCTTCTACCTGATATGAAGCATTTGGTTTCAAGTGTTTTTTCTTTTTTTTTTTGCTGGTACACTCAGTACAGTTGTATTTGGCCGGATTTTAATGACCCTTGGTATTATTGATTGAGAAATTATTCTTTAATTTTTTTTATGAGGCATCATAACTTTAGAGGGAGCTTTCTTAAAATTATTTTCTAATCAATGCATTAACTTATGGGGAGTTTTTATATTCAACAGATATTGTTTTAAATGCTTGCATCATTGTTGTTAAAAATTTCTTGTTGCCTTTATTTTAAAAGATAAATAATTTTGTTTACCCGTATTGACCTTTTATTTTGATAATGTCAAAGGGGGAGAAGAAATTTGATTTAAATATAAATTATTTGACAAAAATTTTGTTAATAATGTGGGAGAAAATGTAATCAAAATAAATGTCTGTATTATGATTGTTGAATATTTTCATGTTGCATTTATTAATGTGAAATTTTGTGTCATATTCATGCTTGTATAGCCATCATAAAAATTGTTAATAATATGATTTAATTTTGATGATATCTAAAATATGATGGGATAATTTGTGATTTTTAAATATACATATTTTATATTCTATGATACAAAATATTATCTGTTTATAATATATGTTGTATGGTATATTTGTTATAAATATTTTTTAAATAGAAGTTACTGTGCTATATTTGATTTTTTAAAAAATATATTTTGGAAAATTTACTATTCACGTGTTGAAAAATCTGATTAATCACTATACATTTTTTGACAATTTTGATATTGATTGGTTATCTTCTTTTGATAAAATTGATATAGCCGTATGGGTGGTGGGTCATTTTTTAGTAAAGTGTATTTAAAATCTCTACAAAAATTTTAA